CTGAGTGAGTACCTCTCCCTCCAGGGATCCCCCTCAATATTCAGGGGTCCAGAAGCCACAGCTCCTCCCACTGCCTGGGGATGGAGGATGAGGCACTGGGTTTGGGAGAACAGGGTTATTTTTCTTAGAGGTGTTAAGTCTTCAGTATAGAAAATAAGGTATTGGTAGTTTTTAAGAATAACATTCAGAAAGCTTCATAGTGTTAAATACTAATTTGTTATTTCTCAGATGCTATTTCTTAGGTATACCAGGAAAAAAATGGGTAATAGTAAATAAAAGGTGAATAATGCCCATCGATTCACAGATCCATTTGTGTTTGAAATGACATTTCTGGCATGCGATGGTTAGTTCAGCCTTGGCTTGTGGCTACTCTGAGTCTTTGAGTAAGAGCATTCGAAGCCATTTGGCTTGAGGACTAATTACAGCATGTGAATTTGTTGTACCTTGGAGGGGCCGGTGGCTTTCCCCATGTTTATCCTCTGCGGGCAAGACTGGGTTTGTGGCCATTGATGAAGTTTTAGGTATTCTTGCTGCCACGCAGGTGATGGCATACTCTTTGGGCTGTCATCCATGATGCTCATTGAGGAAAACCTGGTGAAGGAGATGGCGGAGATGTCAAATACATCCATCCACAAACATTTTAGTCTAATCTCCCCTCCAGAAGGATGTCATGCTGGTCCTTGAGCAGGACGTGTAGGCACAGTATTTGGTGCTGCCGATGCTGGTGTTTTCTCCAACTCGTGCTTGTGATGGCTCCGTGTGGAGGGGGCTCATGCTGGTGTTACTGTGCACCTTCAAACAGCCTAAACTAAACATGCATTACTCTCACCTCCTGGTGAGGGTAATGCATGGCCTTTCCTGCTTGGAGACCAGGGACAGCCCACCTCTGCTTTAGCCACGTAGTGACTGTGCTGAATGAAGTCAGCTGTCGGTGGGAAGAGTTCCTGCCTGCCCCCCTTCTCCAGTGCTGTGAAACCAGCAGTAAAGCTCAAGCTTTGTCCAACTCAAAGCACAGTTTTAAGCTGAGATTAAAGCAGAGACGTGCTGCCTGCCCCACAATGGTGGGCAGCCCACAGGGGTGGTTATTTCCTTGTATTTTGGATGCGAGAAAAGGGAGAAGGCTTCAGGAATGTAGGTAGGGGCTTCTGCAATGATTAATGTTACATACTTGAGTGCATGAACGTTCTTCCTGCAAGTAAGGTAGGAAGTTCCCCAGGGTGAATGGATGGGGAGAGGGCTAGGATGGCTATAGTTACAGGGATTTGAATCCTTTCCCTCTGGTGCTGCCATTAGTCAGGTACTGCATCATGCCCATCTTTACCACTTTGGCACCTATGGTAGCCCAGGACCTTGTTCCCAGTTTTTTGACACCTCTGGTAGCCCTGTAGCCAAAGGGATTTTGGTGGCTGAAGGCTGTGGTACTGCTGCGCAGCTAGTATGGGTCAAAGCAGATGTGTTCCCAGCAAGCCCTGTACGACCTGCACAGTGAGGTGGGGTGCCTCAGGGCTTTAGGAAATCCTTGCCTCTGCAGACCTGCAAGGAGATGAGTCTGGAGGGGTGAGGAACAGCTCAGTGTCTTGCCCAGGTGTCCCCAGAGGTGCTGGGCACAGGGTGGGGACAGCTGAAGGAGTGGACTGTCTTTGGTTGACACATACAGCCCTTTGTGCTGGTGTTGCCCAGCACTGCCATCACAGGGCGATGCAGCTCTCTGGGTCTTCCCACTGGAGAGTGGTTTGGATCTGGTACCCAGTGCTCCTTGATGGGGAGTGGTGAGATTTGATCTCCATGCTAGGTGCTGCTTTAGAGAGCATCACCTGAGCGGTGATTTCAGCTTCTCCCTGCTCTGAGCCATCCCTTAATGACCCATGTGGATATACTCTATTTTTCTTCTTTCACGCCTGTCTTTCTGCTGCCTCACTACCTCTTCTCTGCTTTCCCTCCCAATTACCATCACCTTTTCTCTTCCAGCAGCAAATATGTCTTGTCCTGTGAGGTTCCCCAGAACCTGTAGTGTTTCCACATATCATTCCCTCAGTGAGTAAGGTCATAGTAGTACTATAAGAATGACTCTTGCCGGGACTGGTTTTATGGTGCTTCAGCTCCTAAAACCAACTGAAATGAGTCTTGAGGACCAGAGCATGCAGTGCCCTCCCATGCACAACCCTCAGCTCTGTCCCTGCACCATCAGACGGGGTATTTTTAACAGTGCTCTGGGCTGGGGTTGACCACATCGAGGGAGGCATGAGCTCCTCTGAGCCGCAGCCACCCAAATCCAGAGCTGTCCTGGAAAATCACTGTGGTGTCCCTGTCCAAACTGTGGACCTCTCTGGTTTCACCATCAGGGGAAGGCAGCCAGTGCCTGGCCCCAGTGAGGTTCGGCAGGGAACCTACGCCCACTGGCTCTCGACAACTGCCTCCAAAGGAGGCTTTTGGGTTTTTTACTGCCTTTCCTGAATATCCCATTTTTTTATTTTTTTTTTTTTCCCCCTCAATCATTACCATTTTAAGCAGATGGTGGGTCTATTATATAACCGAGCAGAAGGCTTCATTACAAAATTTAACCAAATCAGGCACTTCTTCGGATAAGACTAAACAACAACTCATTTCTGGGGTTTTCGGCCCTCCCTGTTCTACTTTGAGTTTGGAGGATGAAGTTATTCTAGGGGGTGAGATCAATGGAAACCTTCCTCAGTTATTAATAACTTGCTTGAGTCTGGAAGAAACTGTAGGAAAGCTGAAAGGCAAGATGTAGTAAAACTAAAGCTGTCTGTCCAAGGTTGCAGGATGAGTCTACAGGGTTCAGCATCGCTCCCAGCTGCCTGTGCTGCCCTTAGCAGCTGGGGATGTATGGATCCCATAGGCTGGGGGTGTATGTGATCCCATACGTGATTCCTTCATCACTGACCATGTAATGCTTGTTTTGGGCAGACTAAGGAAGTGCACTGGGTATGATTTTTTTTTTTTCAGGAGCAGACTGTTTCCCATTTCTTGGGGGGGAAACGTCCAACCTAAAAGCTCCTTGAGCAGTTCCAAGGAGACCTGCTAGAGCCTCTCCTGGTTATACCTTGGCTGGCTTGGTTCTAGTGTTGGCCTGAGAAACCACCCGGCCATAGGGTATCGAAAACCTGAAGCATCCCACATGTATTTTGATTATATAATTTAAATCCATCGATTTTTGATGTGCTGCAGAAAGCCAGCATTTGTGTACTTGGTGCATGCTTCAGTCAGTGCTTGGAAGAGTAGGATGTTTCTGGGAAAACAGAAAATAATTTCAATTCAAGGGCATGTTCAAAGCAGGAGGCAGACCAAAGAAACTCAGTCTCCCTGAAAAGCTTCAATCAAATGAACTGTGCTGGGGTATGCAGCTCCTGGGATGAGTGCTCCCATGTTCCGGGGGTGTCCAGAGCCAATTTCGGGAGAGCTACAGGAGATTTGGCTCTTTCAGCTCATTGCTCAAGGTAGAAGCTTGAGGTTTTTTTCATTGAATCCTAGGTAGTATTTTTTTAAGAAAGCAGGTTTTGGCACATGTATAGCTCTGTGCTTCTGGTACAGTGCACGTTGCGTGAGCTGCGTCCTAGTCATGGTAACCCTGGTTTGTGCCCCTGAGCCTTGTCTGCAGCATCACAAGTTGTTGCACGCTGCACCAGGGAGAGGAAGGCTTGCAGTGGTGGGGCTGCACAGGCATGCGTGTGGCTAACGGGACTCCTAATGGCAGCGTGTTCACCTTCCCTGCAAATTCACGCCACAGCTGTCTCATTGCTGCACAGCTGGACTCTGTGCAGGCTTCTTGGCTGACCTGCCCGTGGGGCTGGCTCAGCACCCAGCGAGGAGGCAGCAGGGCAGCGTGGGTGCTGCCAGACCTGCCTCTCCCCCCCTCTGTCCCTGCCCACAGGCCCTGGGCTGCGGTTAATGATGGTCCCTGTTTGCTTGACTCCACTTTCCATGAAGTTCTGGGGAAGAAGTCACTGCTGAGCAAGGACCTGCGGTGGTTCCTGAACACTAGGTATCATGGCCATTTACTGCAGGCCAGCTTGTTGCATTGGTGTGAGCCATTGCATTTGCTGCTCCAGACCATTGCTGCATCCTTGCAGCTGTGTCTGACACACAATGCTTCACACTTGGGTAACTTCTGGACCAAGGCGCAACTCCTAGGAGCTCCGAAAGGAAGAGGTCAGAAATAGCTCTTTCTAGACTCAAGGGCCATGGCTTATATTGCCTGCTTTGGCCACCAGGATCTCTAAGTTACGCCCTGACCTAAACTAATTGCTTTCGTGCTGCTGGCAGCAATTGCACAACAAGTGTGCCCGTCAGCTTCCAGGCACAGCCAGATCTCAGTGGTCGGGCTGGACGGCCACCACCAGCAGAAAATCATCTGCATGAAAACCAGCCAGCCAAGTGGAACGTGCTAGCTTAAAATGCCTTGGTGTGCTTGCTGTAAGCAGTTATGAAAAATCCCTCTCCTGGATAACTCCTAGGCTGGAAAAGAGGGAGAAGCTCACAGAAACCCACTCCCCTCCTCCTGTTTTTAAAAGTGGTGTGGTGGTGGCCACTGCCCCGATGCGTTCCGGGGCTTCCTGGCCAGCTCCAGCATCATTGGTACCAGGCGGGATTTTAAGCACTGTGCAGATCAAGAGTCAGTGCAGAAGATAACCAAGCTCATGGTTTAAACTGCTTTTTTTTTTTTTTTTTAACACCAAAGAGGGGTTTCACCGCCGTGCGTGCAGCATGGCAAAGGAACGTATAATTAAGACAGTTAGCTTAGAAATATTAACTGTGAAATATGCAGTCGCGCATGCTGAGATCAAGTTAATAAGTGTTAAGAGAACAAATAAAAGGCATAAGCAAATGTACACACTACCTGCAAAGTCCTGCTGGAAGTTTCTTGGGTTTAGGGGGTTTTTTTTAACCGTATTTATGAATTACAGCCGACAAGGAAGTAAGGAGGATTTATTTGAAACATAATATTAATATTGCATTATTTATATTCCTTCTATCCACAGGACTGAAAAAACGTACAAGGAAGGCCTTTGGTATACGGAAGAAAGAAAAGGATACTGATTCCACGTAAGTCAATGAGATATAAACCACATTAATATATAACGAAGCTGGGGAGAAGTTGATGCCAGCGTGCCAGGACAGGAAGGAAGTCGGTGCATCACAGGCATTTGTCATCCTTGGATCAAGCCTTGTAATAGCAAATACATTTAAGCTGTTTCCCCTTGTGTATCCAGTGGCCAACAAATAAGGTATTTTCTCAGTGGTGCTGCAGAGATAATAAAGCCAGTTCTCCACGTGTTTGCAATTTACGGTGACAGTTAGCAGTGATCAGAAGAAAATTACTCCTCTGAGAGTTTCAGCAGATTAATCTCTGCCCAAACTACTGATTTGCCTGTCTGCTTAGATCTTTCTAGATGCAAATTCAATTTAAACAGATGCCCGTGCAGGCAGTGAGGCCGTCAGTGGAGTGCAGGGCTGTGTGGTTGGGGGAGGCTCAGGAGAGTGAGGGTGCACAGGGCTTGTGGAGCGCGTGCTCCTTTGCCTTTGCTGTGGGAAAACATCTGGCGGGGGATGCTGTGCATGGGTACAGAATAGCATTGAGCCCAGCCCAGGGAGGGCTCTTGGCTGCCACTGGTGCTGCTTTGCGGGGGGAGGTCCCAAAGCAGCGTGACAAAGGAGCCTGTCCAGCCCATGTGCTGGGGATGGAGCTGGGGAAAGGCAGTGAGGAGCCCTGCTCCCACACCTGCAGCATTGTCCAGGTGCTTAATGTCTGGCTCAGCAGAAACCCTATGGGTTTTCTCTTCTTCTTTTGTTTTTAAATTTCTTTTCCTGAGCTATTTTATATCTTGGCAATGGTTGGTGAGGCTTCCTGTGCAAAGGGACAGCCGCTGCAACACTGCAGGTCTGGCCACACGCCGGGGTCATGGTGAGCCTGGCTGCACCAGCACTTGTGGGGCTTTGCCTGCCACAGGAGGGGGCCCAAAAACATGTGGGGATGCGGAGCGTATCCCAGGAGTGCTGTGCAGCACTGAGCTGTTGTCCTGCTGGCAGAGGGGGGGGTCATCACCAGGAATGGTGGCTGTCCATCCACTAGCCAGGCAGGCCATGGGACAGCCAGGAACTCCTGCTCCAGCTGCGTACAGCTTCATTTATAATTTATCAGAAGGATAAGCAGGAAACAGGCTGCTTTGCTTCTTCCTTTTCTGCTCATGGAAAATCAATGGAGCTCTGTCTAGGTCCTGCCTTTAGCCAGCACCGTGATTTCCATGCTTGCTTGTAGCAGCCTGCTCTTCCTAGAGGCTGAAGAAGCTGGTGGCACGTGGACATAACAAGTCCTGGGGCATTTGTGACGGTAATGAGCTCGTGGAAGGGCCAGTGTGGAAGAGATGCTGCAATTAGCAAGCAGCAGTGATTAGCATGTCGTGAGGTCACATCGCGGTCATCGCCCCGAATGGCTTTGAGTACTCTCCAAATCCTCTATTGGCAGCTGTCGCGGGGCTGGGAGGGGCAGTGGGTTCAGACAGATCCTCTGGTGACCCCCTGCCACGGCTGGGCCACTGCACCCCCAGGACCCAGTGGTGGGCACTGTGGTGTGGGGTCTCCAGAGCTGCTGCCTGTCTTTGGGGGAGATGCTGGATGTGCTGGAGCTGGAGCTGCAGCACAGTGGTGAAGGACCTGCCACCCCCTTCCCTCTACCAGCTGAGGGTCTCCAGCCTTTTCTGGCTGGGCTTTGGGGAGATGAGCAGGAGGTGACATTCCCTGAATGTAGGCAAAATATGGAAGCAGAGGGGATCTTTGCTACTTCCAAAAAATTTTGGAAACATTTGTGCAAAGAGATTAAATGCAAGCTAAGAGAGATGGGAAGCAGACGTGTATGAATTGGAGAAGTTCAGTGGAAGGCGTTATTCTCTGTTAAACCAGAGCCAGATGGGCGGCAGCTCCCTGCAGGGTTTTGATGGTGCCCTGAGTCAGACATTAATTTGTGGCAAATCTCGGGCAACACATGAGACTCAGGAGCATGTGGGAGGTGGACGAGCCCTTCTGGTTTTCATAAACATATTTGTCTCTTCAGTAAATAACTTAGCATCGTTAGACCATGTTTAAATACGGCTGCCAAGCCCGCCACACCATTTCCTGTGACCAAGGTCCAAATCCCATCAGTGGCTGGGGATTAGGGTCTCTGAGGAGTCTCATCAATTTTCAAATCCATTCAGAAGAGAAGTGACTGTGCTTCTGGCAGAATCAAAATCTCTGAATTACTCTATTTGTAACTTTTATTGTCTTCTGCAAGAGGGTGCACACCCAGGGTAGGACTGTGGCCACGGGATGGGTGCAAGGAGGAGCCAGGCCAGCTGGGAGAGTGCAGTCATTGGCAGGAACACTTTATTTACCAATAAATATAAAATTTGTCATCTGATAACATGAGATCAATGGTACTGAGACAGTTGTGTGGGTTTCATGAGGAGCACATGGCAGGTAATTCAGATTTGCTGACAATTTCATAATTAAAACTATTGCTGCTGTGGATTCATTAAGAAAACCATTTCCACAAGCTAATTGGGTGATGGTGCAGTTTGGGAGCTAACACAGCTGTGTTTCTTTCTGTTCTTGCAGGGGGTCGCCAGACAGGGACGGCATCGTAAGTATTACATGGACCCCGGTCCTGCCTTCCTCTCCTGCCATGGCCCCTTAAATGCTAATTCCTCCATCAGCCACCATCAGCATCTTGTGAACTGTCTCTTCCTGTCTGTTTAATATAGAAAATAAATTTCCGTAAGAAGTTGTTTAAAATAATGATTTATTCCAGGTTTTCTACAAAATTAATGTAAAGAAAATAACAGTACAGAAACACCTGATGAATGCTATGGGAGCAGGTGTCCTGCTAGAGCCCCCAGCTCTGCATCCTTGTTTCTACTCCCACTAATTGGCTTGGGTCAGATTTGCTGTACAATGAGTTAAGGGAATATTGCCAGAACAGCTGTTTCCGATACCTGTTTTTATTTTCTATATTAAACTGAAAATAAGGAGATAGTTGTTTTTGAATTATTGCTGCTTTTATTTATGATGTTAGATAGAAAAGCCTCTGCTAGATCGGGTTAGTAGATGGACCACGTCTCCTTTAGCCATTTGATTTAAAGTTTCCAAATAAGTATGTTGGGTTCAGACTGGGACTGTGCTGGGTGCTATTTCTTGTGCAAATCCAGACATTAGAAGCCCACCTTAAAATAAAAATGAGACCCTCAGGAGGCTCAGCAGGGAGAGTGGTGCTGGGGTGTCTTTTACAAAGCCATACAAAAATTGGGGTGCCAAGGTGCTCCATTACAGGGATCACTTCTCCCCCCCCAACATCTGACCCAAGATCCTTGGCTTTTGGGCTTGCCCTGTATTTGTAAGCCACTTGTTGAGAAACAGTAATAATAAAAAAAGGGGGTCTGCAGCTCAGGTAGAGCTTTAACCAAGGCTCTATTCAGCAGTAATAAATAAAATGTGAAGAGCAGCCCAGAGCCATTCCCTCCACCGGCAGAAGTGCTGTGGGCAGCCTTTCCTTGCTAGGCATGGGCGCAGGGACCCTAGGTGAGCTCGGCTGCCCTTTCAGTCAGGCTCCTATTCTTGATTTTCCCAGTGGCTTGCTTTTTAAGCTTGGTGCAAGGTAGGACAGGGTTTCTCCAGTACTCCAGCAAGCTGAAGGATGCAGAAATGCAATTTTGGGGGGTTATAATGAAGCTCCTAAGTGTCTTGGAAGCAGGGGAATTAGAGGATGGAGACACCTAATATAACTTTTTCTCCTATAACATGTTCTCACTGTAATATTTGCAGCCACTGGAGCGGCCAAGAGGCAAATCCTCTGACTGCTGAATAAAGCCCTGTTACCTGCCCCTAGTGAAAACCACGCTTACTCCTATTGGAGCCACAGCTGAGCCCTCCTTTTCTTATACAACTATGCAGTGTGTTTGCTAAGTCCTTGGCACTTATTTTTGTGTGTTCTTAAAAAAAAAAATAAATAAATAAATCCAACCACCCTATACTTTAACCCTTTTTCTGCCAAACCCCGCATGCCTTCCAGCTGCCCAGCCCTCATCCCAATGAGCCACCTTGCAATAGCAAACCCGAGAGTGTGCGTGAAGGAGGAAAAAAAAATTCGGTAAGGAAAACAGAGCTTGGTTTACAGTTACAAAAGGGTTGTTAAAAACAGTGAGTCATTTTTGGTTTGAAATCCAGAATATAGGAAACTACCATTTAGGTTCAGTCAGGTGGATGTATAAGAGTTGAATAGAAATGGCGTTAAATACAAATGGACTGGGGGGGGCGGAAAGCAGAAGTCCCACATAACCCCATCCAGGGTCTGATTCTTTCACCCTTGTACCTCTAACGATGCTGCTCTGTTCTTGGATCATTGTAAGGACCGTCGGGTGAAACGTGGAGGGCAAGGGTGCTGATGGCCTGATCAAGCCCCCAGGCTGCTGCTGTCCCGGGATGGTGCATTGCATTAGATCCTTGGCAGGGTGCTGGGGTTGGGGGGTGCTACCTCTGGCAGCTGAAGGGAACCAGATTATCTAATTTAGGTGCCCCAAATTGAGAACCCAGCCTAACGTCAGTCCCTGAGCTGGCCTTGCAGCACTGCTCACTTGCTGCAGTGGCCAGTGGGAGCTTTGGGTGTTTTTTGGATGTCTAGAGCAGACCAGCAAAGGGTCCTACAGGCAATGGATGCCCAAAGCCTCCTTCCAAACCAGGGGCCCCTCGGTCCAAAGCAGCAATAACCTGTGTGTGTGTGTGTGTTTGGTGTGTTGTGACATGCACTAACGCCGCATCCCAGCTGGGTTAGCCTGGACGCCTCTCACTGCTGCAACCCAGCTTCATTGCACGGTGAGGCTCTGACACCCAGCTTGCCCTGCGGGTGGTTTGGCTACTGAATATCAGAAAGCGAATCCTTCTTTCATCGTGTTCTGGGGAAGGTGTTTACCTCCTGAAAAATAGTGGTGCCATCCATGCTCAATGGGCATCGGGAGCCCCTGCTGCTGCCAGCTCTCCCCATGGGCTGGAACACATGTGGAGAAACAGCCATTTAATTTCTCTTCCTTAAGAAATGTTATATGTTCAGCTAACAAATGTTCAAAAAAAAAAAAAAGCCTTTTAGCGGTCTGGTATGGAAGACTTTCCAGAAATGGGAAATGCTGTTGTGTGTCACTGATGTGCTTGTGCAGAGCGGCTGCAGCAATGCCCAGTGGCATCCCAGCCGTGTCAATGCACACATGCAAGATACGCTGTTGTCTTGTTTCCTAACTCGGAAATTTTGTCTTTCAATGTGTTGCAGAAGAAAACAAATGGAGCCCCGAATGGATTTTACGCGGAGATCGACTGGGACAGATACGTAAGTGTCCCAAGGAGCTCCCCCCATCGAGCACCCGCACAGCTCCCAACAGGGGACCCAGGCTGCGCTCCCATGCTGCCATTTTGGCTTTCTGCGTGGCTGTTTTGGGCGATATCCAGGTGTTAGCTGGGTCCAGATAGGTATTTCATATTTGCATGTTAATTAAATAGCCTAAAACTGCCCAGAAACTGGGTAGCTCCAGTGCCTGACGCCCTGCAGGTGAGGCGAGCACTGCCTGGGCCTGTAGGACGTTGCAGTTACCCAGAAAAAAAACCTGGGTTGCAGCCAAGCATTGCAAAAAATTTTCTGCGAGAAGTGAGCATTGCAAAGTCTTACCTGTGAAAACTGAGAGCACTGCAAACATTGATCTGCAGCGAGGCTGGGTGCTCAGCTCCTGCTAAAATGCCCCAGCGGGTGCAGTGCCACAGCACGGCTGCTGTTTGCTCCATGCTGCCTCACCAGTGGGCTTGGGCTGTGCAAGCCTTCGCTGGACATCGCTTCCTGCAGGAGGAAAGAGCTGCTCCAGCTTTCTAGGAACAGAATGAACATTCCTAATTCTTTTGGGTTTTTTTGTGCCCTATTCAGAATTCACCTGAGCTTGATGAGGAGGGATACAGCATCCGACCTGAGGAACCAGGCTATATCCTTTCTTGTTAGCTTTGCCTCTTAGTTTACAAACGGTAAGATGAGCTGGGGTTCGCAGGCAGGCCACTGACTATATTTATTTATTAATATTATTTATTTCCCCCTTTTTATTTTCCTTTTGAGCTGTAACTCCACAGCTAAAATTGGCTCCCAGGGGGAATTACCTGAGGCAGTAGAGCAGAAGGTGACTTTAATTGCCTTTGATCCACTGCTATGAAATGAGGAGGAGGAGGAGGAGGCGTGAGCAGTGCCGGGGAGCACGGCAGCGGGGTGCCCCGTGGAGATGGCCGTGTCCCATCCCAGCTGCAGTGGGTGCACCTGTGGGGCTGCACGCAGGCGCTGGCCGTGCAGTGCTCTGTCACAGCTGATGCTGTTTCAGGGCAGAAATGGTCTGCAAGGCAGTAAAAGCAAAATGAGCAAAGATCAATTTGCAGCTCCTGTAGCATGCCCTGCTAAGGGGCAAGGAGGTGTTGGTGGCCAGAGCCTGTGCGTGTGCTGAGTTCTTAGGCTGGCAGCAGGTTTTAAGCCTCCTACTTGCAGCTGGAGAAGGGTAAATGGAAAAGCAGAATTTCTTCCTCTTCCACTGCTGCAGAATGCTGGCCCTCTGCAAGCGCTGAGCCAGTGTGGTCACGATGGGGAGGAAACCCAGACACTGATGCAAATCACTGCTGGGCTAAACCAGGGCTGGCTTTATGGCTGTGAGCACCCGTTCCCTGCACGTGGGTAAAGCAGTGAAACATCACAGCAGTAACAGGCGTGGCAGGAGGATTTGCCCCTGTATGCTAGTCCCGCCCTGGGGCATTTGGGATAAGCATTTTGGGAACACCTGATTCCCACTCTCCAGGGAGGCTTGAGCCTTTGAATGCCAAGGCTCTGCACTTGCAGCAGAAGGAAATATTCTTTAACTGTGCTCTACCTACCAAAGGAAAGCACTTCTACTCCTCGAGTGAATCTGAAGAGGAAGAGGAGGCGCACAAGAAGTTCAATATTAAGATCAAGCCTTTGCAGGCTAAAGACGTCCTGAAAAGTGCGGCGACGGTAGACGAGCTGAAGGCGTCGATAGGCAACATTGCACTTTCTCCATCCCCCGTGGTGAGTCCTCGGTGATTCCGCCTCTTCCCCGGTTGCAAAGGCAGTTCTGGCTCATCCTGAGTAAGCAGGGGGCTCTGCCTTAGGTGCCAATGGTCAAGTCTGCATGTGTCCTTATTTATAGTCTCTTCTATCTAGAGGCAATAATGTGACTGCAAGGAGATCTCAGATATATTGTGGTGATGTTTCCAGTTCAAAATGTCTTAAAAATTTCCTTTCCTGCTCATAAAACATGGCAACTGAGATCAGAATATACTATTCCTTTTTTTTATCTTCTTCCTCATTTTTCAATGTGGTCATTGTTCACGATGTAAATCGGGTGGGTCTTGCGCTGATCGACAGGGCAGGGAAAGAATCTGTGGGGTTTCCACACTGCTGCTATGGGATGCTAGAGGGACATTTCTCACCCCAGGGGTGAATATGGGGTTCCTGGAAGGAAAGGTTGTCTCTCCTTAGTCCCTCCCAATATAAATACCATCACCCGCTAGTTTTTCTAAGGCTTGTCAAAATTTCTGTCGTCTCATCCCAATCTGTTCAGCCGTGAAAAGATTTGATTTTTTGGCTTTAGTGTGGGCTATAGTGTCTTTTCAGATGAAGCTTTCTATAATTAGCCTGTATCTGGAGTGTGAATGAATCTCAAAGTCTAAGTGAAGAGGAAATAAAATGATTGCATTTTATTTCCTCTTTCCAAACCAATGTTGCCAATTTTAATGAAAGCTTCCAGGACAAGTCACTGTCCTTGGAAATACTAAGTCCCTCTGGCACGGCTCTGCTTTTCCTGGATGCTTGGTCCCTTTTAGCCATGTGCACTTCTGGATGCTTTTTGCACTGCAACCAGGGAGTTTCTGGCTGTTAGCATTCAAGGGTTAGAAACTGCAGTTGGCTGCTTTGGGAAGCACAAAAAAAAAGGGGCGGG